TGGGTCCTGCTTACAAGGAGATTCAGTTCAAGCAGGTGATCCAGACCTTGATGATTCAATAGCCAGGGAACTGCAAAAGCTGCTAGACATACATAACTTGCTGTTCATTCAGGGAACCAGCAGCAAACAGCCTACCATGAAAATGGCTGAAGAAAACTCTCAACCACAATGAGATCTTTGATCTTTGTAAATGATTTTGTGGTTAATGGACAAAGAATCTGAAGTAGCTGGTAGGACTAAAAAGAACCCACTGCATTGTCACTGCAAATTCAGGAGTAAACACTTACCTGCAAACCACTTCTAGCTCACTAGCAGGTCCTTGCTCCTCTGTCCAACATGTTCTGTTCTTTAGGCAAAGCCAAACTTAAAACAATGCCAACATCTTTAGAAGCAACAACTCCTGGTCTTGGGTGCTCCATTATGACCCAAATATTAACATATCTCATCAGACTGAAAGCCTTTTGCTTGCACTCTCTGTGCTCCAGGCTAACCATTTTCCCCACAACTGGATTTGTAGGGTTTGGTGTTTGCTTTTAGGCACCTCTACTACAATCTGACCACTAACTTTGCAGGGAGGATCTGAGAAGTATCCAGAAGCATTTGAAGAGGACAGAGCAGGTGTTACAAGTTGCCATTAAGGGCTTGTGCTAGGTATTTAAACTGGGTTGCTACACAGCAGGTTTTCCCAGAACCAGGGACACAGCTGGTACAACACTATTAGCAGCTTTGTAGCTCTAAGGAGAGCAGCTTGAGAAAGCATTTATTTCCTCATGCAGCCTGGCAGGCACCTTGCACAGCTCATGATCTGACTCACACTCCTAAAAGCTCCCACAACCATAAAGTCTGAGCACTTCTTACCTTTAATAAGAGGCAGATATTACTTGTGCTCTCAAGACAGGCTACTGAAGACTGAGAGCCCATTCTGGGAAGACTCTGGCACCTGATGAGCTCCTGGCTAACGAGCTCATCTATTCCCTGCACTAACCTGAGCTTGGGTGAGAATCAAGACCAGATTTTTCCCACTTAGTAATCACCCAGCCATTCTGCTACATGGCAGGAGAAGAGTAGTCTGAGGACAAAGAAGTGTTCTGGAATGTGTTAGTGGTTGGTGATTTAGGAACCTGCACTCAGTGATTCCAAGCAAATCTTTGGCTTGCATAGCTAAACCTCCTTGAAAATTTGGTACAGAAACATGCAGGAAGCTCCAGAATACTTTTCTGTGTTGCAGCTTTAAAACCTTTCTAAAGGATTTTAATTTTAAATTTCCCAAGCAGGAGGTTAGTTTTAATGACTTTATCTGTCTGAGTAGGCTGGGAAGATTTAAGTGATGTTCACCATATAAATATAATTTAATACTTAACACAGAACTAAGGGAACATACCTGGGGACAGTTTACTCTT